AATAGCCAGGAATAGAAAGCCTTTTAGTAAATCCTTTCATTACTGGCAAACATCACTATTGATCTCAAGAAAATCCTACATAATTTCATCCAGCATATTGAGTTTCCAGTGAAATTCCTGAGAAACATGCTTTCTCTATCAAACCCCACATTTCTTGTGACACCTGAATAATTGTATTTGATTAATTTCTCCCTTACAGTTTGCAATAGGTAACTCAATATTTCAAAGCACTGCTCCTACACAGGTGAGGGTTCACCCAGTAGCACGTGTCCATCCCAAGACCGTTTCTGTTTCCTAGACTCATAGTCTAGGACACTTCTTGCTGTTTTCACATTAAGTCCCTGAATTTGCTCCGTGAAAGGTGGCCCACGAAGCCAAGCGTGCAGAGACTTGGTGCTTCACATCCTCCCCTACGCAAGACTGAGGGAGCTGCTCTTAGAAGTCAAAGCAATATCTATTGAGAAGCTGTTTTGCTTGCTATGCTGCTCTTCATACTTACACAAAAGCTGGTTCTTGTGGCTTTCCAAAGACAAGGACCAGAGTGAATAATACTCTGATCTCCCTTACTGAAAATCTTCTAGGCAACAAGGAAAGATGGCCATTTCTTGTGATGCAGTTCTAAAGTGCACGTACAATTAGTTTTTTCCCTCCACCCAGAAATGTTATCCATTCCCCTTTAACTTGTAAAAAAGCATGATGCTCAATCTTTAATCATATTCAGTACTAATACTGAAAGGTTTCCCCTACTGACAGGCTAAGTTTCAAATTATGTAATTATCATATTAATTTCTATTTAACACATTTATTAGAAGCTTTATTTTAATTTTAAAATGCAACTGAAATTTGTCATGTTTCCTATTAATGCCATTAAATGGATTTTTTTGTCAATGAATTTTTTACACAAATTGGATTAAATGGGAAGCACGTATTTTGCCGGAAAGCAATACTTCAAAATACATTCTGCTTGTACATTAGAGAGTCTTTCCCTTACAGACAAATGGTGACCTGTACTTGAGATTCCAGCTGCCACTTAACTCGGTTTCAACCAAAGACCAATTCAAATTCCACATTTAAGATTCACACCTCAGCATTCAAATCTGCTGTCCCTCCCCAGGGTTTGTCTAAAATCCTGTCAGCCACTGAATACTGTTTAGCATTACTTACGCCAAACAGTTAAGAGCTTAACAAGATCTAGAGGATAAAAACTGCACACCGAAATGTTCAGGATGGGATATAAACTGAAATAACAGATCACCGTCTGCTTTCAGGCATACGCCAACAAGTATTTCTTGAAGGCTAGTTCATAATTCTTTAAGATCTCTCTACTGTACACACCTCAAATTCAAGTCCACAAACCAAGTTGAGTGGCAACGACATTAAACAGGTCCCTAAGCCTAAAACATTGTTTTGAGTGGATGAACTTGCCCCATTCATTTACAACCTCGTATCAACGATGCTCCATCAGTACAGGTTACCTAGCTTTGCTCCCATAAACTCACTTCCTCAGTAACACCAGGGGAGCGCGACAGTAAAGCTGCAACAAGGAGATGATGCTTGGAAGCTTCCTTCTGCTTCTCACAAAACCACAGAAAAAGTGTGCTGTCTCGCTGACAAGGCACTGACTTCCTCCTCCCATCTTCAATTAAGACCATGCCAACCCAGACACAGCTGGAGAAGTTAACCTTAGGCAGAGAAGCAAGAAATACATTTTCATGGGCTGCATTTAAACAACAGTTGTACTGTGAAACAGGGAATGCTAAATGCTGATTTCTTTCAGCTGCCCACATTTCAAGCTTGGATAGCTGACCTTCAGATCTAGCATAATACTAGCTTACTAAAGCACAATGGGCTGTCAGGAGTAAGGTGACTTACCAAGACAGCAAAAAGAATTAATGAGGCAAAATCCAGTATCACTTCCAAGAAGTAAAAATTACACAGAATTATCAGAAATCAGATTTTATTTCTTCATATGGCTTGCTCACGTATTTGTTAGGCTTTTTGTCTTCTGGAATTAACTAGATTATTGCTATCCATACCTGCATCTTCAGTAAACAGAAATGCCATCTTTGCCAGATCCCCAAAGACATTTCAAGGATATCAGAGCAAAAACTAGCTGCTATTCTTACTGATAAAACATTACAAGGAAAAGATTCTTGTGTTTGATGATGACAAAGAATCAATGACAATTCACTGACCTTGACTATAAGACTAACAGCTGTGTACTGTTTTTTCTTCTGTTCTTCACTAGCTCTATGTGCCTGTAGGCATCTGACACGAGTTGGCAGAGACATTTCCCCACACTCACACTGATAGTTAATGACTTTTAAATTTAATAGTCTGACACCAAGGAGATGTACACATATTGACTAAAGCATGTGTGGTAACTACCGATATTACTAGCAGGAAATGAGCACGCTTCAGGAATTCCAAAGCACGCACTTACCGATATTTTAGACACAAGGTGTTATTTCTTTTCTTTACTCCCATTATACACAGTCACTGGTAGAATAAAGTCTAACAGCTAATAATATTTTTCTGAAATTCAGTTCTATTCACATCTCCATCACTTTGAAAAATGCAAACATCATGGCGTAATTTCTGGTACAGACTGGACAGAACCCAAGCCCAAATGTTAAGCAGGCTGGTGCTCAGGACACCTGCTGAATTCACACCACACACTGAGTTCTGTTTTTCTCTAATTTGCATTAAGGCTATGAACATAAACTCACTGGCTTGTCTTGTCCTCTCCTGCCATAGTTCTTCCACCTTCTATAAATATATATACACAAGGTGTGAAATTAGAGCATTCCTCAGGATGAGTAATCACCGCTCTCTGCCTCCTTCCATACACAACCAACCAGTAAGCAAAATAAAAACTAGAAAAACTACAAATGGAAAAAAACCTCATTAACTCTCTTCCATTATTAACTCTATTCCATTATTGTCTAAAAGAATTATTGTACAATTGTACATTGTACAGAGTGTACAATCCAGTAGTGAATAAACAGGTGTTTATCCTAAATACAGATCCAATACTACATGGCTAATATAATAACAAAATACTGCTCGCCATTTCCTAATTATATCCCTATGCACTGAAAATTCATAGTATCAGTGGAGTTCTTTGCTTTAGCTCGCTACAGTAAGAACAACAGAGTTCCCAGAAGGTCACAGCAATTTTCTTGTCAAAGTTAATGCAACAAACCCTTCAATGTAGTTAAATGGGAAAAAAAAAAAAACCATTTCTGTACATGGCATTGAACCTGGGACATATTTCAGGAACTCACACTTGTGCAGTTTGCTTCAGAAACATTCCAAAGCTACACCAAGGTGAGATATTGACTGATCCTAATCTGGACAGGCCAATTCATTTTCCAAACCTATTGGCATATTTTAAGTTACACTTCTCCTGGCACTTTTCCCCCTCACTTTGGATCTCTAGGTCTTTATGAACTTACTTGAGACTTAGACTTAAAAGGAAAACTCAAAGTTTTAGTAATCAATTGCTACCTAACCTATCAAAGGTATCAAAAGATCAGAATCACCACCTCCATTTCACAAACGGGAAGCAGCAAAGTCAACAGGATCTTCTGAAGTCATTCCACAGGTCAGTGGCAGACAGGCAAGATGGTAATTTGGGCTCCATAGTGCTGTACAAAGCTCCATGCAATACAGCATTGTGTCACCTCTCAAAAAGCAATGAAGTCCTTGCATGCAAACATATTGGCAGACGTCAAGTGCTAGGAAGCAGAGTTGTCTTCTGGAAACCCAGGCTCTGGCCCATAAACATTTTTATTTTGATGCCTGTTTTTTACAATCCTGGTTAACAAAATACATATAGTGAAAGATACATTCGATTTCCCAGAAATTATTAGCAATTTCATATTCAAAGCAGTCATACTAAAATATAATCTGTAAATATGCAGTGTGTTATTTAATTAACCTATAGTATCTGGGATAATTTTAAGGGCAAACAGCTACCAAGGCTGTGAAATTGGTATTTAGAAATTAACTCGTACAAGAACGTTCTTTGGGAACAACTACCTCAAGACCGAAGGGTTTTCTTAATGGGTGCACCGTAATGCAAGCTGTAAAGCTCGAAAAAGTGTCATGACCTGTTCCATACAGGAAGATAGATTAGATAGGCTTTACATCTCTGAGAACTCCCTGTGAAATTCCACATAAAAGTATGCCATCAAGAATTTAGTAGGCATAAAAAATACGAGTGCGGTTGTATTTTAATATCTGCACAGAGATAACTCACAGATGTCAGAGCTTTTTCTGAAGTCACAAGCATCTAGGAAATGATTAACACATAGGATTATCATACTCCTGTAGGTGCTAGCACAAGATCTCTCTTAACTTATTATCACAGAGGCTCAGGCCTGCCCTGACCTGAGAGGCAGCATTATTTACTCTGCTCTTATGGCACTCTGGAGATAGGCGGCCCTAAAGCATGCTGGTGAAAAAGCTAAATAAACAGGAAAATAGATGAGCATTAAGGAGCAGTAAATCACCACAACAGAGCCAGGCAGCAGACAGCAGTCTGTTCCACATTACAGATGGCAATGTATTCAGGCTACAGTCTTACGGGATTTCCTATTTGGGAAGACAGAAAGCAGGGATAATTTAAACATTTTAAACAGCAGAAAAATAAGCAGTACCTTTTCAAATACAGTTTATTCATCTGCTTCAATCAAGCCCATCTGACTGACTTTTGCTGCTTGAACTTCATGTACACTTCACCCCCTTTAAAATGCTGCAATGAGAAAACCTAACCTGGAAAAGGAAGTTTTAGAAACAAGTCTGATGGGGAAACCACGCTAACTGCCAAGACCTGACTCAGTGTTGTGTTTGCTGTAATCAAAATCCCAAGTTGTACTTGACAGAGACAGTACAGTGACAGAGACAGAGAGGTTTCGTTCTTCAAACAGCAGACAATTCTGCTTGCATTAACTTATTTTCCTCTCTCTCCTCTCATCCTAGCTCCTTTCACTTACCAAGGGCTTGGCTTCATCTTCATCTTTGAAATAGTAAAGCTGGTCACCCTTGAGAACAAACCAGCGTGTGTGCCAGGTCTTGACAAAGCCTCCTTGCTTCCGCAGCCACCCACATTTAATGGCACTGTGCCGCCCTTGGCTCAGTGGGGGAGTCTCTGCAGAGCCATTGTGTTCTTCCATACTGGGACTGGGCAACTCTCCTGTTGAGAAAACAAGAGGAAAAGGTAAAATAATTAGATTATTATCCAGGCAGTAACTTGCTCCTTTCAACACAGCTGGAAAAGAAACATGCCCCGACTATAAAGGTGTGCTAGAAAAGTATTTTACCATCTGCCTGCTTATTCTCATGCTAGCACCCCATCAGCTGAGAGAATATTACTCGCCTATAAAAGACAATAATAATAAGGAACTGAGTTGCTAAAAAGCAGGCAAGAGACAAAAAATTTGCTCAAATACAGTGTAAGATATTTTAACCGGCACTGAGGAAGACATCAGCTGTTTCTTGGGGTTTACAGGCAGTAACAAGGAATGAACTTAGAGTACGTCTTCAGACCAAGGAAAGCAGTACGCTTCTCAACAGCGGACCTCCCCATTTAACATTCCCTGACAGGCTTGGGGCTTTCAGGGAATATTAAAGAAGCCTCTGCTTCTCCAGGGCTTAATACACCCCACCAGACAAGCAGGCTTTTGTTTTGTTTTACTAAAGTCCATTTAATGGAATGGTGACAGTAAATACAAGAATAGCTGCATATCCCCTCACACAAGCAATCCCCAGACTGAAGTGGATGTGTGTCCAGCCACGCTTATTATAGACATTTTGCAAATCAGGCAGAATTTTGGCGCGTCAACTCAAGGCACGAGAAGTGTTTCAAAACCAGAGCTGAAGTGTGGAATTAAACTTGACAAAAGTTTCATGTGGCTTTTCGGCCTTGTTAAAACTGTACTTTAATCATCTCTGGACAGTCACGAATCTTCCTGATGGATTTTGTACATACAATCATGTAGTCATGTGCTTAACCTTCACAGTCAAAGGGCTCTTCCTGATCCTCTATTAAGTCTAGAGCTCAACAAACTCAGGATTTTGAGTTGCAAGTTCTGATATTTTCAGTTGAAATACAAATCAAACTGAGACCTACATGTGCCAAATAGCGTATACCTAAACAGAATAAAATGTGACCATAACCACAAACACAGCACTGTGCAAAATTAACGGTGAAATTTCTCTAAGTGCTTGAAGAACAACATGTTTCTTTTCTTTCTAGACTACCACTGGCAGCCTTTCTTGGCTAGTCAGGAACTTGCACAGCTGTTAGGGCCTGGGAAAGCCGGCTTCATAGGTAATGTATTTATTGTTTCTAAACATCAGGGTGGGAAAACAATAAAATATTCTAAACATTGCAGGCAGGAGACATCTCTGCCTAAGAATACATAGACCAAAGCTTCCTGTTCTGACTCTGGCAAAGTAGATAGGTGAGCCCAGGCCTGGCAATCCTGCTCTGGTCCCCTGTACAGCAACAATACTGCTACTGAACGTCGTAACAGGCACCAGCATTGCAAAGCTATGTGCTCAGCTTCTAAGGTAAATTAGAAATTAAGATACTTATTAATTTGATAGAGGAGACCATCTCTCTGACAATTAATACAAGTACTTTGTCTGGATAGTGTTACATCATTGTGAAATAAACTGCAACATAATCAAGCAAGAAGAAATAAATAGATCAATAGATTCCAGTCAGGAGTGTTTTTCAGCCCGTTTTTCCTTTCGCTCCTTTCTTCTTACCGTTCACACTTAGCCTCTAGCTGCCATCTCTGCTATGTGTTTACACCTTTTGCTTTTAATACCCCCCCACAGTCTGTTGTCACATCCCTACTTTGGGCTGGATCCTGGACTCCAATCTCCATGATTAAAACTCTTAATTGCCCTGTGCCACTGAGGTTAACGGGCCTCAACACGAGTACAGAGGTTTCATTGCAAAGTACAAATTGCAGGATCAAAACTTAAATCACTTGGTATTCTTCTCAGAAAAAGGAAGAGAAAATCTTTCTCCTGCCTCTTCAGAGTTCACCTACAGTCACTCAGAACACTTGTACATTTACTTGAGCAAAGCATCCCTGCAAAACATACAAACATGTCTGGCTCTCAGCGGAGCAGACAAAGATTTTTTTTTGGTGCCTGGGGTTACAATTACATCTTAACAAGAATGGACCAGCTGATAAACCCTCAGACCACACTAGCAGAGGGTTCCTGTGAGGTGTACGTACCATCAGAATACACGCTCTGAAAACTGCAGCTCTGGGGCTGCAGAGTATATTAGATGTTGCAGTGAGTTTCTGAACTGAACCTTGCCTCCTTCCAATCTGGAGCTGCAAATGGAGATTCAACCATCACTAGAAAAATTAATAGCTTGCTTTCTCAGTGCCTTGTTCATGAAAGTCTGCTCACACATCAAGGTGGTCTGGAACTCTTGTAATATTTTTCATTCACTTTGCACTGTAATAATTAACTATGAAAGCAGTGGCCAAGCAGCCTCTGAAACCCCTACAGCTTTATCCCTGGATGCCCAAGCTCTCTCACTTGTTACCTTAGCTCTTTAGTAGGAGGAAGACAGGTTAAGTGAAATTATTTGCAATAAGCAATGATCAGATAATCTCCAAGAACTGACTTCATCCATACACAGCAGGTTTTATTAAACTGACTTGTACCCTACCTCTGCTACCATGTGCGGTGAAAACATCTCAGGAATGAGGACAGACTTATCTGTGCTATATGAAATCATTCTCTCCAAAAGGAAATGCACCCAACTCATAACTGGCATTTTTTGAGTACAAGCAGAAATCTCTTGGATGCTGCTGGTTTTTGACTGGGCCAAAGTAGATGCCAAGAAGCAGCCCTCCAACTCACATCCTTAGAAAGTGAATTAGCAAATATTTTAAGGAAAGCATTGTAAACAGCAGGTAAGTTATTGCAGCTGAAAAAAGTAAGGAACAAAATCATTACCCATAGGCTATCTCCTGCTCCCTGCTGCACAACCGCAGAAAATCACAGCTCTCAGCTTCAACTAACCTGATCAGCTTCTCTCTGTTGCTTGGGCCAGCCTCAAGGCAGGAACAAAGGAAGAGTTTAAATACAGTAATTATGTGTATCACTGCAGTGTTAAGGACACCAGGTCCCTATTACACTTGGACCACAAACAAGAATCTAAATACTAAAGTCAAAAGCAATGAACTACTTGGATGAAAGGCTATTTTTAATTTCTTTCCACAAAGTCACATTTCATTGGTGTTAACACCAGTGTGCAAACTAAGTGTTTGGATTTTAGCTAGCCAGGGAAAATGTTAATTGATCTACATCTCTTGGTCTGGTAACATTTATATCTTAAACTATTTCTCCAATACTAAAACAAATGAGGTGTAGGAGAGATGACATCCTACTGCTCCCAAGTCCTCACAGGCAAGTGTAAGATCTTCTTTAAAGCAGTAGTATATCCTTGGACACTTTCTGTACAAAATAGTTACATTATTTCATTTATTAGTGATTTAATTCTCTTCAGCAGTTAAAATTTCAGCCACCTACCTTGTTTTTGTTAAGAGGAATTGTATTTAGTCATAAGATTATTTGTTGTTTTCCATCTCTCCTTCCCTTTCAGAATCTGCCTACTACAAACCAGACTCGGAATCAGAAATTCCAGCAGCTGGCTCACTTTTACTAGTTGTTTTTACAGCTGTTTCAACACTAAGATCATAAAAATAAATTGCAGAAATATCAGGGTGCTGGCACTGATGCAGAGAACAGCGAGGTGCAAACAGTATGTAAATAACACATGACAAAGTGTGGAATGACATCAACATACTCCAAGTCCTCTTGCTCTCTTGAGACGAGGCAGAAAGCCATGCATTTTCAAGCACTAAATGAGCATATTCCTCAAACCCATCTTCTGAACGGGAAACACAACTTGTACTTGCTGCCAGAGTCAACTCTACTGACTTGGCCAACCTCCAGTTTAGGTAATGACCAGAACTGAACAAATGCTACATGGTCTATTCATTTGGGGCTGGTTGTGGGCTAACTCTCCTGGGCTTGTCTGGACATTGGGAGTGCAAAGCAAACAAAATGAGAAATGTTCCCTGACGCACTGGCTCTGCATCAACATCTCCTGGTCCACAGAGCCCATCGCCGACTACCACTGCTGGCCCCAGTCCAACCTTTTTCTGCTCCCATAAGGGTATCTGCCTCTCTCACTAGTCCGTCTAGAAGGCAAATAACTGCACTTGCATTCTCCTCGCCAATGTGGAAGGGCTATGCCACTGCCATGCACAGAAAGCAGGGAAGTGTTTCTCCTCAGCTACCACTCAGTCAATACTTGAAATATGGAATTGGGCAGCTCCCCCAGATCCCAGCACTTTGGCAGGAAATAGTCAGAGAAAGTCATTAAAGCACAGCAAATCCAGTTACAATGAATAATCACAGGATTGCACCAAGATGACCCGTTTGGCAAGAAACTCGGATGGTTTGCAGTATGTTTTTATTCTCACTGAAATTTCTCAGGACCAAAGTAGCACATTTCAAGCATGCAAAACATCATCAGCGTTGACTTCCAGCAACTCTTCTTCATCTTTGCCATTGCTCAGATGCTGTATCATGTCCTTTGCAGCCCAATGTCAGCCTGACACAAAATGGATAAAGATGAGAAGCCACTAAAGCGCCTGCCCCAGAACCCTACTCCTCCAGGCTGTCGCAAGGTCTAATCCCCTTGCCCTCCCAAAAGGGCAAGCAACGCAACACTGCATGGAGATGACTTCTCTATATCAGACACATTAACAGATATCCAGTAAAAGGCTGCAATTTTGCAGCAACAATTCACTTCATCATTGATGAACGTATCTGCCAAATATATATACGCATACACACATGCAAAATTCATAAAAATTTTTGTGACACAACAGTTCTATATAAAATTAGATTATTTCAATACTGTAATGCTTACATGAAGAGATATAACTCACTTTCCAAGTGATGTCTAATTTTGGGTTCCTTCCTACTTATTTCCCATGAGCTATATAGAGCATAAGTGCCTAAGTTTAAGGTTATCAGTATCTTTCAGGTACAGAGTGCTGCCTCTGACCAGTGAGCTTCCTTTTGATTTTTCTTTATTTAGTCTGGCTGAGTAACAACTTCATAA